TCCATCCATCCATCCATCCATCCATCCATCCATCCATCCATCCATCCATCCATCCATCCATCCATCCATCCATCCATCCATCCATCCATCCAGGTGATGTAGAAATTGGTCTGATGGAGAGGAACGGGGGTCTGGAGGTGGAGGTGGTCCAGGCTAGAGGACTCACAATGAAACCAGGTTCAAAGGCACCCCCAGGTAAGCTTATTTAAATCTAAATATTGTGTTAAAAATAAAACCATTATTCTCCAGGGTTTTAATTTGTTTCCATAAGACAAGAACGTTTCTGTAGCTCACAAATAAGTTAGAAGAGAGAAAAGAGCCTGAGCTGCACACACAGCAGCCTGCAGGCGAGCCAGAAGGCCCAAAGCATTCCTCACTGCTTATATGGAGTTGGCAGAAAGAACAGAAGCAGGTAAAGTACTAAATAATAAGTGCATCACCTGCTTTATGCTGCATTCATTTCTTTTAGTTTCTATTTAAAGAGCAGGAGCAACATGCAGTGTGTGAAAACTCTAGTAAAAGTCAAGTGCAGGTTACAGTGGATGGAAGAATAAAACGGGATTAACAACAGATTGACAGAAAATAAACTCCATAAATCCTGTAAGAACAAAAGGAAAGCCTCTTCCTGTTTCATATTTCCATGTGCAGAAATCTAATCTTTAATCCCTAATCCAAAAAACTGACTGAAACAATATGTGGTGTTGGATTCAGGGTGCAATAATGTCTGGAAACATGTTGTCTAAGTGCAGAAAACAGGAACAGACAGATGTTCAGCATGCTCCTGATTGCTTTGTGTTTTATTTGTTCCAGCTGTTGAGGTGTGAAGAAACATTTCAGGCTGACAGTTGATTTGTCTGAACTGATACAGATCTGTGAAAAACACAAAGCCAATCAAATAATCTCTGCTGCTTTTATAAAGCATTCTCCTAAATATTTTATTCTTTATTTCATTCCACTTTAGACAAATGGAATTCAAAAGGACAGAAATAGGCTAATTTTGCTCAGAAATTTTATTTTATTGTATCTGTCTTGAAGATGAGGAAAGAGGCAAACTTTAATGCAATGAAAAGCTGACAGAACTGTGCAGAATGCTCTCCGTGCATGTGTGGGTTTTCTCTGAGTCCCTTTGAACTTTCTTGTTCCAGCTGCATACATCAAAGTTTACCTCCTGGAGAACGGAGTCTGTGTGTCCAAGAAGAAGACCAAGTCGGTCCGGAAGTCTCTAGATCCTCTCTACAACCAGGTTCTGGTCTTCTCAGAAAGCCCACAGGGGAAAGTAGTGCAGGTAAGACACAGCTATGTGGCATAAACCTAAAAAAACCTTGAGTTGAAGTCATGATATGTTTGCACAAAGCTCCACGTCACACAATCCTACAGAAGCCGAGACCAGACATTTTACGCAGATAATATTTTTCCATGGTTTTCTCATTAACACATTATGTCAAAGTAACAGTGAGTGTTTTCACCAGATAACGAGTTAAATATGTGGTTATCATGAAGTTACGACGAGTGTTTTCTCTAGATAACAAGTTAATATGTTGTTATCACGAAATAATGAGATAACATTATTTCATGATAACACGTTATCTCGAGAAAACCAGTTAACATGTTAACACAAAATAACGAGTGTTTTCTTAAGATGAGGTAAATATGTTGTTATTACAAAGTAACAAGTTTTTTCTCGAGTTAACAAGTTAATATGTTGATATGACCAAATAATGATAAGCATATTCTTGAGATAACGAGTTAATATCTTAACATAAAATAACGAGTGTTTTCTTAAGATAATGAGTTAAATATGTCGTTATCATGAAGTAACAATATTTTTCTCGAGTTAACAAGTTAATATGTTGTCATCACCAAATAATGCTAAACATATCCTTGAGTTAACGAGTTAATATGTTGATATGACCAAATAATTATAAACATTTTCTTGAGATAATGAGTTAATTTATTAACATAAAATAATGAGTGTTTTCTTAAGATAATGAGTTAAATATGTTGTTAACATGAAGTTATGACGAGCGTTTTCTCGAGATAAGTTAATACTGTATGTTGTTATCACGAAACAATGAGATAACATTATTTTATGATAACAACACATTATCTCGAGAAAACGAGTTAAAATGTTAACACAAAATAACGAGTATTTTTGTAAGATGAGTTAAATGTGTCGTTATTACAATGTAATAAATTTTTCTCAAGTTAACGAGTTCATATGTTATTACCAAATAATGATAAGCATATTTTTGAGATAACAAGTTAATTTGTCAACACAAAATTACGAAAGTTTTCTGAAGATAATGAGTTAACTATGTTGTTATCAAGAAGTAACAATTTTTTTCTCGAGTTAACAAGTTAATATGTTGATATGACCAAATAATGATAAGCGTATTTTTGAGATAACGAGTTAATTTGTCAACACAAAATAATGAGCATTTTCTTAAGATAATGAGTTAAATATGTTGTTAACATGAATTACGTTTTTTCTCAAGTTAATGAGTTAATATGTTATCACCAAATAATGATAAGCGTATCCTTGAGATAACGAGTCAATATGTCATTATCACGAAGTAACGATGAGCGTTTTCTTTAGCTAATAAGTTAATATGTCCTGATGCATCTCAGTAAACTAAGGATAAAAAATAAGTAGGTCGCCTGGATGGAGAAGAACTCGTCCAGAGGACCTACTTATTTTTTCTTTTTGAAGTTAATATGTCGTTATCACAAAATAACAATGAGCATTTTCTCGATAACGTTAATATGTTGCTATCACAAAATAAAGAGATAACTTGATTTTATGATAACAACACGTTATCTCGAGAAAACAAGTTAACACAAAATAACGAGTGTTTTCTTAAGAAGAGTTAAATATGTCGTTATTACAAAGTAAAAAAATTATCAAGTTAACATGTTAATATGTTTTTATCACCAAATAATGATAAGCATATTCTTGAGATAACGAGTTAATATCTTAACATAAAATAACGAGTGTTTTCTTAAGATAATGAGTTAAATTTGTCGTTATCATGAAGTAACAAGTTTTTTCTCGAGTTAACAAGTTAATATGTTGATATGACCAAATAATGATAAGCATATTCTTGAGTTAACAAGTTAATTTGTTAACACAAAATAATGAGCTTTTTCTTAAGATAATGAGTTAAATATGTCATTAACAAGAAATAAGTTTTTTCTCAAGTTAACGAGTTAATATGTTGTTATCACCAAATAATGATAAGTGTATTCTTGAGATAGCGAGTTAATATGTCATTATCACGAAGTAACGATGAGCGTTTTCTTTAGCTAATAAGTTAATATGTCCTGATGCATCTCAGTAATCCAGGTAGAAAAAATAAATAGGTCGTCTGGATGGAGAAGAAGTTGTCCAGAGGACCTACTTATTTTTCTTTTTGAAGTTAATCTATTATCACAAAACAACAAGGAGCATTTTCTCAAAATAACGAGCTATTTATGTCGTTATCACGAAATAACGATGAGTAATTTCTCGAGATAACAACATAATACGTCATTATCTCGAGAAAACCATGAAAAAAATTATCTGCGGAAAACATCCGCTTTGGGCTTCCGTACAATCCTGTTTTACTCTCTAAAATTTATTAGGTTTCTGAATCACTGCGTACTTATTTCTAGATTTTTTTCCAAAACTTATATTTTATATTTATTTTTGTAATGAAGCTGTGATAAAGATTTGGCCAGGGGGTAAAAAATAAAATAAAAAATTCCAGCCAGATTGTGATAGCTGCCAGCAGCATTTATAAAAATCACAGTGCTCCAGTCCCTCAGACTCAGCATCGCAGTCCTCAAAGTGTCTCCATAAAATATAAAAGCTTCCACTACATCCCTAACCCAGAGGACATAAAACAGGAAATATGGTGCCGGTTCTGGTGGTTCTGAGAACAGAGAGGGGGAAACTGAAAACCAGAGTTTCACATTTACAAAAAGAATCTGACCCGTTGAGCTACAGACTGCATGAATAGATTTTATTATTTTTATTTCTTCCAGCTTCAGCAGCTTCTGCAATAAAAAAATGTGACAAAAGACTCATTCAGAGACGGATTAACTGAGCCTTTCCTCCCGTGTTCGTTTACGCACCTTCTGCTTTCATGTTCTTTTTACTCCTTTTTCCACGTAGATTTCACTTTTATATTTCCTGTCACAGTTCACTTCCTGTCACATTCCATGGTGTCGTCAGGAGCTTTGTGAAGACCTGAAATTTGAGTGTTGTGGTTAAAGTGCGTGACCTGTTTGTCTGCGCGTCAGGCTGACGGAAACAGTGACGTGTTAAAGGCCCGCAGCTCTGCCTCCAGCTGCTTTGCTGCTCCTGTGTAATTAGCCACTAAACGCCTCCCTCTTAATTATCTGCTGTCTGCGGCGCTGTCCTCCGAGTTTCATCAAATTCATTCACACCGGATAATGAAAACCGCTGAAATCAGCAGCACTCCGCAATTTGTCATTTCCCAATTTAGCAAATCACGAAGCCGCTTAAGATGACGCTGAAAATCTGTTCAAAACCTTTCCTTTAACTGCTTCCATAACCAAATCATTTGTTCATTTTGACAAGCAAACTTTGTGTTTTATTAACGCTAAAGATGTTTATTTTCATTTTTCTTTCTTTATTTGTTGAAGCTCACATAAGACTCGTAGCCACTGGTGTGATGTAACTGAAAACACCACCTTTCACATCACAAAAGTCCAGCTTTGATGCTTAAAAACCAAAGTTCTGGGTCTGGAAGCAAATATTCTTGTATTTTTGTTTTTAATTATTTCTCTTAACTACTGCTTTTTTTCTAATTTGTAATATCTGCGGTCAGGATTATGTTTGAAGAAATGATTCTGGGCACTCTTTAAGAATCAGATTTAGATGCTGATTCTTTCTGTAAACACTTGATATTCTGGCGCACAGAGACACGCCTGAGACGACACGTGCGCCGAGGGATATTGATTCATTTGTCCACCGCCTGACGAGATGTGAAGGCTGTCTGAGTCCGGTCCTGATTTCATCAGGATGTCAGGGGACAGAAATAAACATGCAAATCTCTCACTTTTATAAAAACAAACACACAGAAATGTCTTCATTCAGTCTGACGCATTAAGCTGTTCACTACCACAGGGGAAAACACATCAGGTAACAGTAGCTGTGTTTCCATTGACCATGAAAATGCGCAAATTAGAATTTCGAAAATAAATTTGCTCAATGGAAACACGTCAATTAAAAAAAATTAAGTTTTTCAACAAAATGTTTTTGCACTAGGATGAGGTGGTTTTTCGGCCGTATCGAAATTGGTGTTTTTTGCAAAACTGCAATGGAAACACTTTTTTCGCATCACAGGAGTCACGTGATCAACAACCGGCTGTTTCTACTGGTGAAAAAGAAAGAAGAAGACAACAGGAAGTAGAAGTAGTAGTAATATCACAGAAGTAGTATAAAATAGTAAACTCACCGACTACAATTTCCCAAAAACACAGCATACGTAGCCGCTCCCAAGTAGGGACTTGTCTCTGGAAAGCCTCGATAAAAGACGCCGACGTCTCCTCTGATGATGAGCGCTAGTGTCGTGGTAGCAACATGCTATGTGTTTACATCCATCGCCGCCATGTTTGTAATGACTTATCACGAGAACAAACGTATTCACGTGACTTTAATAACATTTCTTACTTAATGGAAACACTGCTGTCGCGAAACTGTGTTTTTTGACATTAACAGAATATCAACAAAGTTGTGCGCACATTTGCAATGGAAACGCAGCTAGAGAACATGTTTTTGTGGAAAAAAGTGACTTTTATTGTGAAATAAGCAGATTTTCAGTGTAAAATCTACATTAATACTAATTTCTTGGTGGGCGTGATTTGTGTCGACACTTTCTAAAACAAAGCTGTTTTCCAGGTGATTGTTTGGGGGAACTACGGACGAATGGACCGTAAATGCTTCATGGGCGTGGCCCGGATCCTGTTGGAGGAGCTGGACCTCAGCGCGATGGTGATTGGCTGGTACAAGCTGTTCCCTACCTCCTCGATGGTGGACCCCACCATGGCACCACTCATCCGTCACTCGTCTCAGATGTCTCTGGAGAGCACCATCGGGCCGTGCTGTGACAGATCCTAATATTTGGACAGAATTGTCGTTTTGATGCTGTCACTCAGATGCTAAGCTAATTTAGCTAAAACGTTTTTATAAACTGATGCACTGCGGATGGTTCAGCCGAGCGTTCTTGTTGAAGGTGGGCATCAGTTGTTTCTCTGAAGAAGATTTCACAGATTGAACCATATTGGGGATAATGGCTGCCTGGAAAATGACTCAGCTAACTAGCAGGCTAACCTGCAGTCATTTGTAATGTATGATAATTTTTTGAAATTGAGTCGTTTCCTGGTCAGAGCAGGAAGCGAGTTTCTTTTGTTGTTGTAACGGACCATCCTCGGGTCTCAAAGGGAAACTTTTGCTGTCTTCAGATGTCTTTGATGAAAAAAAAAAACAAAAACAAAGTAAAACCCTTCATAATGAGGATACTTCAAAGCAGCGCTCCGTTGCCAACATCGATCCCGTCCTTTTGGGACCGGAGAACACAGCAGGCTCAGCTTTGCTTCTTCTTCACGCCTTCATCACGTCCTACATTCAGTTTTCATTCCCAGGACTGCTTGTTGTCTTTCTGGACGGTCGTGTTTATTCAGCCGACTGGAGGTAAAGTTACAATGAAGAACCAAGTCTCCCTGTTTGAATGGATCCGTGAGCAGGACTAAAGAACATGCTGTAACATAAGACGTTTTAGTTTTAAATAGTCAAACTTGTTGTTTTTATTTTGTTTGTGTTTGATATTCAGCTCCTCGTTATTTAACTGTCTGGGTTAAATATGTTAATGTAAGTGCAGCAGACATGCTCTGAAGCCACTTTTCACTTCTGGAAAAGATCCAGATCTTTATCCCGACTACAGAACCAAAGGTTTCTGCTGTTGATTACGTTCATGCACAGTGTTAGAAAGAAATAAGTGGATTATACTTGTGTCATTATGACCCAATGTTTGGAGACATTATTAACCTGTTATTTTATGGGATGATTCTTGCAGGTTATAAAACTATGGAGGTACATATGTATCAAAACTATGGAGGTACATATGTATCAAAACTATGGAGGTACATATGTATCAAAACTGGAGGTACATATGTATCAAAATATGGAGGTACATATGTATCAAAACTATGGAGGTACATATGTATCCAAACTATGGAGGTACATACAGTATGTATCGAAACTATGGAGATACATATGTATCAATACTATGGAGGTACATATGTATCAAAACTACGGAGGTACATATGTATCAAAACTATGGAGATACATATGTATCAAAACTACAGAGGTACATATGTATCAAAACTATGGAGGTACATATGTATCGAAACTATGGAGATACATATGTATCAAAACTATGGAGGTACGTATCGAAACTATGGAGGTACATATGTATCAAAACTATGGAGATACATATGTATCAAAACTATGGAGGTACATATGTATCAAAACTATGGAGGTACATATGTATCGGAACTATGGAGGTACATGTGTATCAAAACTGTGGATGTACATATGTATCAAAACTGTGGAAGTACATAGGTACCTCTATAGTTTTGATACCTATGTACGTCCATATAAAACAACCAAAACTATTATTTTAATTAATGGCACTTTTGATTCTTATTAGAGAGTTCTCACTTATGATCCAGGTGCAACTGCAACCGAAATATTTAAATCCAATCACCTGAAGAGTTTTCTTCCTGTGTGTGAAAAATGTAAAAAAAAAAACTAAACATGTCCATAAAATCCTTCTTGCCTAATAATTTAAAACCGCTGAACTAAATTTGACTTTATGCATGCAAAATGTTTTATTACATTGGAATTTGAAGCGACTAATGGTAAATGCATGAGATTAGCACGTTTAAATCTTGCTAAACCCTGGCAGGATAGAAAATGTGAAACAGCCAGGTGTAAAAAGGGGGGTCTGGTTTTGTCTCCGATCACTTCTGTTGTGTTTTCACAATCACGGTCCTCGTGCAAAGTGCAGCACTTGTTGCTATAAATGAATTTTATCACCTACAGAGACAGAAAACGAGGATTGAAGCTTTGCTTGTCATGCAGATCTGACAGTTTGCTGCTTTAATCCTAGTCAGGAACGTGTTTAGCTGATATTTTAGATGTAGGTTTCTAATATTCCCTCCATCTCTGTTTTTATGCTTCGGCCACCAGTTGTCTAATAACAGTTTCTACTCTGCCAATTTCTACCAGCAAGTGTCTTCTCCTTCCTCTTCCTCAATTATCTCATGGCATGTGTCATCGTGAGGGAGGAGCAGAAAACCACCACTCACAACATCTAACAGCAGTGTTCAGGCCATGCAGAAAAGCGTCCCCTTTATTCCAAATTAAAGCCCTGATCCTCTGAATGCAAAGCCACCTGGTGTTTCTGCTCCAACTCAAACTGGAGGGAGGAGCAGAGAGAGAGAAAAGAGCATGAAATGCATTTTGGATCAAGCAAACAAAGGATGAGTCTGCTGACGTCAGGACTTCAAAATAAATAAATAAATAAATAAATAAAGGACAGAAATAGGATGAATTTAAAGGGAACAAAACGTGTACACTGTAGAGACATTTTATTGATGAGCAAATGTCTTTTATTCAGGCACTTTAGAATTCACAGTCTTTTATATGTAAATATGACCATTGTTTGTGTCTTTTGGAGTGAGCCAAAGTAAATCTGTAAGTTCATTCTTATTAACTCGAGCAGAAGGAAGTTATATTCTTGCTAGTTGTCGTAAGATCGTAGCGTTAGCTGGTAGCATCTGCATGACTGATTCAATAATTAGCACACATCTTAAAATTAAGCATGAGCTGAAAGCTGCACAGGATGAGGATTTTTCACAAGTGTTGTTAGAAACTATTATTTCTAAAGACGTTGGGACATTAAAATAAAAACAGAAACTGAATGCAGTGATATGTAAATCTCAGAAAATCAGATTTTATTTACAGTGGAATAAAAACATCAAAAACTAAAAATAAGAGAGATATGGCCACTAAAAAAATACAATAATTTTGACTTTTTTCTCCAAATTCTGAGATCAAAGTCCGAATTCTGAGTTTTTTTCCCCTCAGAATTAGGAAAAAGTCAGAATTCTGAGATTAAAGTCAGAATTTTGAGCTCATAATTCTGAGAAAAAAGGCAGAATTCAGACTTTTTTCTCTGAATTCTGAGATCACAGTCTAAATTTAGACTTTTTTCTTCAAATTCTGACTTTTTTCTCAGAATTTGAAGAAAAAATGTCAGAATTCTGGCTTGTTCCTAATTTTGAAATCCAAGTCAGAATTCTGACTTTTTTTTTTTCAGAATTAGGAAAAAGTCAGAATTTTGACTTTAATTTAAGTACACTGACTTTTTTCCTCAGAATTCTGAGAATAAAGTATTTTTTGCAGAATTCTGAGAAAAGTCAAAATTCTGACTTTTTTCTTAGAATTCAAGTCAGAATTTTTTTTCAGTTGCCTTAAACCTCTCTTGTAAAAACTAAAACTAAGAAAAGCTTTTTTTATTTATTTTTTCCATCCAGGAACAGGGTTATTGGAGTTTTTGATTTGATTATTGAATGAATGTATAGAAGTCCAGTGTTTTTTTAATTTTTATTGTTAATATTATTATTTTTTTCTGTATGATGAGATTTTCAGTACTCTGGTTTCTGTTTTTATGTCCGAACTTTTATAGAACTGAGGTTCTACAACATGAACTCAAAAGCAAATCTGTGTAGCAAACTTTCAGTTTTCTTTCTACAAACATCACTTTAGGTTTTTCTTTTTAAAAGACACAATCATTAAAGTTAAATATCACAATTGTTTTTTTTCTGTTTTTAAGGCCAATTTTTAAAGCAAATTATACTCTTCTGATAACCCACCCACTAACAACTTCTTATTTACAAAAGTGGCCTCAGTTTTGCCAGTAGCAGTATTGCAGGGATTTCAAAACAAATTAACATTTTCTTCAAAGCAATAAAACATCCTCTTATATCATGATTAATTTCACACAAGTGTTAAATTTTAACATTAAATGTGCATTTATCAGGATTATTTTGTCTCTTTGAACAGAGCTGGAGTTTTCACTTTGTACATTTACACATTACCCAAAGTCAGCTCTGATTGGTCGTCTGTCTCAGAATCAGTAAGGCTCCGCCCACAGTTATTTTGTGAATAAAATAAGAAAAGTAAAAACAAAACTGTTGCATTGGAAGCCATGACGTGCACAAGTAAATATTTGACTTATGCATTCTTTAACACCTTTACAGACGTGAACTGTTTTATATTTCTGTGTAGCTTTCATCTTTTTCTCTAACAACAGCCTCATTTGTGTAAAAAAATCATAAACTGTTACATTTTAATATATTATAAACATGAGAATTTATAAGCCCTGAAATGACATGAAGTAGCATAACTGTTATATTATTATCAATGATAGGGGTTAGAGTTGTCAGGTTGTAAGAAAACTATATTTAAATATGAGGTAATGTTAGAAAGCTGAATGGATCAATTATATTCATATGCAAATCTATATAAAAACAACTTTTTATCATGATCTATGAATGTGTTTCTGTATTTTTATTTCATATTTTCTTGGTGCCAAAACTGTCACAAATTTTAAGGAACAAATCTCAGAAATGTTAACAACAAATGAAGACGTGATAAATATCTGGACCTGAGCAGCTTCTCGTGCATGTCTCAATAAATTTAAACTTCAGCTTAAATAAACCCTGAGGTCGACAAATGCTACAATTGCTCTTTTCTAACAACCTAAAAGAGACAAACTTTGTGTTCTGAGTGGAACCAGGAGTAAAAGTTGTGGTTTATTTGTTGGAGGACCGTCTAACTTTGTAACTTTTAAAGTGAAACGAGTCCTCAGCACCAAAACTTGTACGGTTTTTGGATTTGTTTTGATTGTGTCCGTCACTTGAATGTTTAAATGTGTATTTCTATCAATTGTAATGTAAGTAGAGGCCTTAAAACATACATTTTGTCAGGGCTAAGGACAATGAATTGTCTCATTATTTGATGAGAACAATGCAAAAAAAAAAGTTTGAGTTTCCATCTCCACCCATCACTGACGTCACAAAGGAAACTGATTCTATCTGTGCTCCTGGTGAACGACTCATAAACTCATGTTACAACTAGAGTTTGTGTCTCCAGCACTGTTTGAGTTGAATCTATAAACTGATGAAAGTATTTTTGCAGTGTGAATTTTCAAACACTGACATGTTTCTTAACAGGACTCACTTTGAAACAGAATCATGTTTTCAGATGCACATCGCTGCACTTTGTAGTTTCATCAGCAGAAGGAAACAAACTTTAGAAATCTGTAGAATCTTGACGATGTCTGTAAGGTTGCATTTCTGCAAAACAAGAAAAATCTTCTTTGGTTCAAGTTTTGGTCCTTTCAGCACCACTTCTCTGTATTTGTGACCCGTCACATCGAAACGAGGATTGAGTCTAAAAGTGAAATGTAGAGAAATAGGCAGATATCACCCGCTTCGGATGTTATCATCCATGAAATGGACGTTATCAGGCGTTATCAGTCCCCTAGAATGACTTCTGATTGTCAGCTGGTTAGTATGAGGCATAAAGCCACTATCTGGTTAATACGAGGCATAAAAACTGGTTAATATGAGGCTTAAATCCACTAAGGTTAACTTTAGAGCAAATTACATGGTTAGCGCTAAAGACACCGCCCTCCAACGGTTGTATATTGTGGCCTTCCAATAGGGCAATGGGTAAAGTGTCATACCAGAGAGGGGAGACCAGTGTTTGAGACTGACACAGACATAAAAAATTTATTACAATATATTTTGCTTATTTACACATTCATTGTCATTGATTTATTAACCCACTAGGGGGCACCGTTGGGACAGTCTGAAGCCTAGAAGGCCCAGTAGGGACCCTCTGAAGCCATTGTATGGGACTGATAACGCCTAATAATGTCCATTTCATGGACTGATATCAGAATCTCCTGCAGATATTGGGATTTGATTAAAACATTGGCAAAAATTACATTTAGTCAAAATATAATAAATAAATGCCTCATCAATGTATCTTTTGAATGAACTGTCTGAAATATAATCCTAAAAAAACTTTTGAAGCACTCTTTTTGCATTAGCAACAAGAACTTTGATTTTGAGGAAAAACTCCTTAAAATGTTGATATTTCCTCTGTAAGCTAGCAATGTTTTTGTTTTTTGTTTTTTGCAGCTGGGAAATCTCGGTATTCAAATACAATATAAGGTTTATGACATTGAAAAATCCTAATTAAAATTACAAAAAAATTGGATTCAGACTAAACATTAATTTATCATCATAACCAACAAGACAAATGAAGGTATATCTCTGGATGATCTAAGTATCAAAATGTACCTTTTAAAGGCAAGAATGTGAAAATGTGATGAGTTAATTCTGGCCAAATTTGACTTAATCCTCATTTCGAAAAGATGGGTCACATTTGACTTCTTTGATATTAGATTTGATCATTTCCACTAACTTTAATCTATTGTGCTCAGTAATGTGAGTTCTTCAAACCAAATTTGAGGATTTTATTACAAAGTAAGAAACAAAAGGACACATGTGATAAAAGTAAAGACAAGAACAAATGGTCAATCCTGTGCTGTTTCTCAAAAAGCTTCATGAATGAGAACAAAAGGACAAAGAACCAAAACATGACCTTGTTAGGCAACAGAAAATAATTTACACCCTCAGCTTTTAGAGACCATTTCTTAAAATGTTTGGTCATTTTTTTAATCTACACAACACGTTTTACTTAAATCTCATATCAGTCGTCTCCGTCCTTCATGATTCCCTCTTTGGTCACATCACATCTGGATTATACTGCAACTTCCTGCAAAATCCACCCATCAAGTCCAGCTGGTCCAAAACTCAAACCATTTCCAGAACCTCTAAACCTCCTTCTGTCATCACCTATATTAAAGCTATGATTTTTATTTGTTGCTTTATTATTTAGGTTTTTTTTTTACTGCATTTTATATTTTATTTTATTTGTACTTGAGTGCCAAAAG